ACGTAGTTTTATGGCTCTTAAAATTGACCTGTCAAAAGACAGGGAGAGAGAAAGAAACACACGGCCATGGCGATGGGGGCTTGAGTGGTTGGGGAAACAGCAACACACACAACTGGAAGCTTAGAGTGTGAAATGCTGTGATGAAAAGGAGGGACACCGCCTGGGAAGTCAGTAAAGAAGATAAGAAAGAGAACAAACATGCAGGACAATTAGTTGGCAAGATAGATCTCAGAGAAGAGCTCGAAAGCATCACACTTCGGGCCCTTGCTACCCCTCCATCCCTCAAATCTCTTCCTCTCGCCCTCCCAGTTGTGAAGGGAGATCCAACTATGATTTAGACCAAATCTTTGCACTGCCCCGGAGCCTGTGGAAAGAGAGGAAAAAAAAATAAATTAATTCAAAGTGGACACTCAGGCTTGTCCCTAACTTCCTTTTCTATGTGCACACAAAGATCAGCTCGTTTTTTCAAGAGAACACAGGGAAGGCTTATGAACTCTGCTTCAGATCAAGAGCTGCAGAGGCTTCCCCTCAAGTCACCAGGAGAAATGCTCAGCTGGGATTACATCTCTGACCACCCCTTGTGCAGGAAGCAGACCCCTGCAGTCAGTAACCTCACTGCTCCAAAACGGGGCTCCCCTCAGCTCGCCTCCTGAACACACACACCGAGTGGCTCTGTTAGTTTGCCCGACTCCTCACCCTTTGGCTTTGGAAGTTTTCTTGCTCGTCTGGCGCTGGTTGGTGCCAGGAGCTGGCTCCCTGAGCTCTGTTAGGTGCTGTTCCGGGTCTTGGGACGTGGCGGCTGCCGCGGCTGCTGTCGTCACCTTAATGGTCTTTTTCAGGTTTGCCACCTGCAACAGCAGAAAAGCAAGAACAGATGAATGTCCCAAGGTTTTTAGTTTGTTCTGGGTTGGTTTTGGATAGATTTTTTTTAAAATTTTTTGTTGGTTTGGTTTTGTGGGCTTTTGTTGTTGTGGTTTGTTTTTTTTTAAAGCAACCCCTGGAGTTAAAAGCTGCAAGCTCAGATCAAGCAGAAGAGCTAACAGCCATTCAAACTCCTGCACTGGAGAGGAGTGTTAATCTGATTTAGGACTCTTCTTCAGGCACAAGCCCCTGGGGGCTCTGGCCTAGAGACACAGATCGTAACAACCACAGAGTACTGGTTCCACTTCTTTCAAAGCGAGGGGCCCTGGCTGCTCCCTCCTTGGCCCACTCACCTCACTCTCTATCTGCTGCTTAAGTGCCAGCTGTTGCTCTTTGTGCTGGTTGGCCCGGCTGACCTGTTCTTCAATGCCCGACAAGACAACCTCACAGCCCTGGCACCTGCACAGAAGACACACAACTGAGCAGGCCAGACAAATCTACACAGCAGAGAAAGAAACGTAAAAGACAACAGGTTTCAACTCTAGAGGCCAAAACGACCATGAAGTGACAGCTACACCAGGCAGGGAGGACACAGGAGCAGGAGTCCAATGTAATAATGTAGTGATATTATTACTTGGGAGGGGGACAAATAAAAAAAGCCATACTAGGTAAGGAACTAGATATATAGTCAGAAAGCCTCCTGCTAGCAGCCAGGATGGTGCAAAGGTTGCTGCGGTCTCACCATCCCTCCAGAAACAAATGGGAATTTGGAAAATTATTTTTGGAGAATTCCTTTCCATTGGAGCAGAGGAAGAGGAATCGAGCAGGCCACCTGGCAACACTACCCCTCGGTGACGCGCAAAGGATCCGGGGAAGCCGCTGGCCACTCCTGCAACCTTTTTTGGGTGTTAGTACTGGGGCTTCCTCCTCACCACTCCTGCAATGTGCGGGTGATGGTGCTTAGCTCCTCCCTCCGGATGTCCCTCCCAATGCTGTAATCCACCTCCAGGCGCTGGTTCCGCTGGTCCAAGCTCCCGCGCAGCACGTCCGCGTACACCGCCTCGATCACCAGGTCCTCCAGCTGCCGCACGTTCTTCAGCTGCAGCTGCTCCAGCAGCACTGAGTAGGGGATGCACTGTGGAAATATGACAGCCACGAGCATGAGGTAATCCCAGCGGAAGGAACTCAGGGAAAAATAGGGCCACTACCTTGATCTTGGCAGCCAGAGTGACGACCGACAGGTGCCTCAGTTTGTTCTTCTGAGCCTCTGTCAAGGGAGGGAGGTTTGCTGCTTCAGCTGTCATCAGGAGAGAGAACAGTGTAGAATAATTTATGCCTTGTTTTCCATTTCCCAACCCTGCACAGAAGCACCTGCACCATACCCATTTCCTAAAGCATCTGCACATCAATCTTCCAAGTGGTGCTTTGTCTTGCCAAGCCATCCCCGTTAATTCTCTGCTCAAAAGACCTTCTCTGAGCAGCCTTTCCAACCCTCAGTCTCAAGTCATCCTCTCTAGCTTGTCCTGTGGCTTATTTATGCAGGTATACATATCCCAGGGGATACCTAAGTCTTTTCCCTCAAAAATGTCTTTTTGAGATGCCATGGAAATTCCCTAATCAGCTGGTGATAAGTAGCATGAATTGTTAAGCACACCAGTGGTCTCAGGCCCAAACTGCCATCAGGCGTTTGTCAGGTTGTAGCGAAGGAAGCACAGCTCCCGCAGCCAAGGGGGCCCGTTTGGGCGAGGGTCTACAACGGCCTGGGGTTCTGCCGTGTTTTCCACACGGCGAGAGCACCACCCGGCGGGGAAAGGGCCCCTGCACCGCGCTCTGCCCCGGCCGCCCCGGCGCCCGGCCTCACCCAGGTAGTCCGCGTAGGTGCCGTAGGCGAAGATGGTCAGGAGGCGGAAAACGGGGGAGAACTCGCTGTCGGCCAGCTGCGGGGACACAGGGTCAGGCTCTGCCGCCCTTCGTC